GTCTTTTGTAAAAGATTCGTTGTCCTGTATCTCTTTTTGTGTCACAATTTGCACAATTATGGGTTGGGGATTTCAGTTTGGGGAGGGGGGAGATTTTCTTAAGGAGTAGCCTTCTTTTGAAGTATAAATGCCTATTATCTTTCTGACAAAGAAAAAATATCACCAGCAACAAAAACAAAGAAAACCTCTGTCACAGCAGCCACACTTAGCTAGTCACTCCTTCTGTTGCTTCTTTTAAAATACAGAGACAAAGCAACTTAAGAGGGAAGGGATTTACTTGTGTTCACAGTTTTAGGGCAACCCATCATGGAATGCAAGATATAGATATGGCAACAGGAATTTGGAGTGGCTGGTCACATTATGTGCACATTCTGGTGGCAGAGGATGATGAATGTTAGTACTCAAATTGCTGTTTACTTTTTAATACAGTATGTACCACAGCACATTGAATGATGCCACCCATGTTCAGGGTGACCAATTCCATATCAATTAACTTCCTACAGACAGTCCTTCACAGTAGCTTTCAGTGGTTAGTGTTTAATATAGTGTATGTAATTTCTCATGAGGATAGAAAGAGGCTTGTCTCCAATGTGATTCTGTAACAAGCCCAACTGGCAATAAATATTAAACAGCATACCTACCAAATAGCAGAGCATATAGAAACACTTAAATTGCTTAAAGTTTCCTTTTGTACCACCAATGACCATAGAACATAAAATGCTAAAAATATAGACTACATTTTAAAGTCAATAATTATTTTAGATTAATTAATTAGAGTAAGTATGGCAAAAATTGTAAATGAATACCCAATAATATGGCACACCATAACTGACAAAGGAAAAGCAAGATTTAAGTTAGGTATGACTAAAGAAAAAGGAAGGAACAAAAATGAATAACAAAGAAAACAGTGGAAGATTCCCCTCCATAAAAAAAACAAATCTGCTTGACCAATAAAGAAAAATAAGAAATGTATACAGAGGGAAATTTTTTAAAAGGTGGATTTTTAAAAAAAATAATTAAATGGGATACTAAGTTGGTAGAGTGGACAAGACAATAAAAAGTAAAAGAAATAAAACATAAAAAGCAGCCTTTACAAAAAAGACAAGTTATTGGATCAGCTCCTTCAGGTCCCATAGTAATGATGCTTACTAAGTGAAGGTTCATCAAAAGATATTGGAATCTTCTGTAATTATTTCCATTTCAGTAGGTGCTGAATCAAGACTAATCAAGAGCCGGTTACCTTTCAAAATTGCAGTCATTTTAGGCATTTCCTTTTTTGTAACCAGGAACCCCTGATGGCCTTTCCAAGCTTTGCATTCTATTTTCAGGGGAAGCTCTCACTCACTCTGTGTACTTCCTAGTTTCTGTAACTTGTGTGACTTACATCAAAGCAGCGAGATGTCCTGAAAATGAGTCTAATATGGGAGGCAGCAACAGAATACTGAACACAGTAGTAGAGGGTCAGCCTCAGTGCTTTCAACCATGTCAAGCACTCTATACGTACTCTATACGAAAGAGGGAGTTGCGGAAATTGAGTGCTGTGTTGGTTAGTTTTAACTGTCAACTTGACAGTTAAAAATCACCTGAGAAGAGAGGCACAAAGCAGTGGTTTTGATCCATTATCCCACTGACACTTCTACACTTTCATTATCCTATAGCTGATACAAGACGCCCCATCTTGTCCTAGAATATGGGACACCATCCCACCCCCACTTTTCCCCAGAGTACTCTTGAGTACGAGCAGCAGGAAATATTAGATAGAAATGAGGAGGGGAGAGAAGCAGATAGAAAATACAGAACAGCCTCGGGAGGGCCTGGATCCTAATCCATCAGGCCCTGATGTCTCTGCCAAAGAGTTTTTAAAGGAATGCAAAGGGGTAGAGCAAAAGGCCTCCCCACAGTACAGCCAAGTGCAGATCATCTCAGATATCTGGTATTAGGCCCGTGGTTCAATTATCCTCTTTATGCAGACCTGCTGGGTAAAGCCACCAGGAAACCTAAATGGGCTTCAACACTAGAAGTGCATTTTTTTTCCCCTCAAGGTGTGTTTGCTTACTCAAGAAATATTTAGTAAATTCTGTGACATATTCCAAGTGTTCTAGACTCTAATCAAAGAGTAATATAGTTGTTTTAACTGTATACACACACACACACACACACACACACACACACACACACACACACAGTTTCTTATCTGGCCTAAAAATACTCCTTTCTTTTTTATGTCAAAGCAAATTTTTTCTTCTTCTTCTTCTTCTTCTTCTTCTTATTATTATTATTATTATTATTATTATTATTATTATTATTATTATTATTATTATTTTTATTTATTTTACATACCAACCACAGTTTCCCCTTCTTCCTTTCCTCCTGTTCCCTCCCCTACCTCCTTCCTACTCCTTCCCCCCATCCACTCCTCAGAACGGGTAAGGCCTCCCATGGAAGTCAACAAAGCATGACATATCAAGTTGAGTCTGGTTCAAGGCCTCTGGCCTGTGGTACATCATCACCACTGTACCTTTACCAAACTACTCTAGGATATCCTGCTGTTGCCCTGAGTCATGGAGATCCTTTGGCTATCATTTTACAGGAATAGTTCCTTCACACAATCCAGAAGGGCATAGATGGGGTAGATGTTAGGGTGTACTGACACAAGGTCCAGGATGTGGGTCTGGATGGTAGCTGAGCTGGTCGGTCTGGGCCAGTGCAGCCATCTCTCCCTAGTGTGGGGGACAGCTCTCCTGCTGCAGTTTCCAGTGAGTGGTAGGGCCAGCCATCCCAGGGATAAAGACCATCTAACAAAAATCCAATACCCTACATTTGAAAAGCTGCCATTTGAGTTGTTCATCAGGAGACTCCTGAAGTATTAGTTTATTGCTTATTGCCCACGGTTGCCCCAAAAGGTAGAATGTCTCTTTTGTGAAATACACTGTGCATTTCAGACGCAGGGCCCAGAGGCTTCTGAGCTGAACTGATCTGAGTGACTTCTGTCTGAGGACTAGCTTTAATGATACCAGAAGTTGCTAGCAAGTCTCCAGAGGAAGGACGCACCACCAGCAGTCCTATCCAGCCATGAAGCCTATAAATCAGCTCACTTTTATAAGACACTGTCATTTAAAAATGAATTTCTGCACACACACACATACTCACTCACTCACACACACAAAGACATAACACACTTGTGATAAATATAGTCAAAGAAAAAGAGGCTGTAAATTTGAGAGTAGAGGGCCATGGGAGAGGTTTGAGGGCAGGTATCTGGGAGAGGCTGGAGGTGGAAAGGGAGAACAAAGTGATGAAAGTCTATTTAAATAAAAAGCATTTTTGAAGTGTAGCCCAGGCTAGTCTTGAATTTGTGATCCTCCTGCCTTTGCCCCCTTCAGGAAATCTAACCGGCATGCACCACAACTGGTAGGTGCATGAGCTGGCTTTCTGGAGCCCATTACCTATAGTGGGATGCCTTGCTCAGCCTTGATGCAGTGGGGGAGGGGCTTGGTCCTGCCTCAACTGAATGTACCAAGCTTTGCTGACTCCCCATTGGAGCCCCTACCATTTTGGAGGAGGGGATGGGAAATGGGTCGGGGAAGGGAAGACTGGGGGCAGTGGGAGAAAGGATGAGAGGGGAATCTGTGGTTGATATGAAAAATGAATAAAAATTTTCTTTAAAGAAAAGAATAAAAAATAAATTGAAAAAACTTTCAGAAAAAATAATTTTGAAAAAAAAATGTGGGTGTGCAAAGGAGGCTATAAGATAAAGAGAAAATGTCCATCAGTAACATATAAAAAGGTGACTCCGAGAAAATTAACCCTTCCTCCTTATGGATCTAAATTTTAATTCTTTTCTTATTTCTGTGAAAAAATAAATTTAAGTTAATAGGAATCTTTATTAGAGTTAGACATGGTGGTTCATATCTCCAGCACATGGAAAGTTGGGCAGAGGGACCACTGAAAGTTCAAGGGCAACCTGAGACACAGAGTAATACGTTGTCTCAAAAACAAAACAATTATGATTTCATAGGTTATAATGTTGCATGCAGAGAAATGATTGAGCTTGTTTAAGGTTATATCTAGCGATAAGGAAAGAGAAAAAGTTTTATGCTTGGGTGTGTATTGCCTGAGCTGATTTTCTTTGCCATACTGCTTCCCAGCATCTATGCAGACAATGTGTATGCTGCACAATTGTCCTCATATTTAGCAGAGTTGCTGCAGAAGCAAATGGAAAGCAGGATAGTGAGCACAAAGGAAATACGGAGGCACACCCCTATTTATTACCCACTTGGTAAAGGGTGCTATAAGCCAATACCCTCAGTACATATGTTTTTTAGCTTTACCACCCCCAATAATAATTACTCTATAACCTAAGTGTGAAAATGTCTATGTAATTCTCAGAATTGTGCATACATATTGTCTGATTAAGGATAAATGGAAGGAAATGTTACAGGCATATGAGGAATAGATATGGGGGAAGCTATTCCTGTGGACATATGAACATGCCCTAGGTAAGTTTTCTGAGGACAAAATGTTCCCACAATAATCATTATGGGTAAGAATCTTACCATCCATGATGGTGAATATGTTAACGCCTTCAGGATACCTTGCAATCAAATAGGAAAACTCTCATTTAAAATACATGATATTTATTGCTTAAATATGAATGTGTTCATGTATGTGTTCATTTAGAAATCACACATAAATGCAAAATAAAATTAAGGCAGATTTTTAAACATCTACATTCTGGTACCTGATTTTCTGAAAGAAAAGGAAACATGTATTTCTTCTACCATTTAACTTACGTGTTTCTTTTCCTTTACAATGCTGTTGACCTACTATTAGATGCAACATGTTCAGAGGTGTAGGATGCTCTCGACTTCTCAAGGATAGAGAAAGATGACCCCAAATGGGTATGAATTTCTCACAAGAGGATAAAGAGGTCAGACCAAGACACAGAAAGAAAGGAATTCACTTTATTGACTTAGTGACTTCAGAGGGATTAAGAATTCTTAGTTATCAGCAATGGTATTCGCAATCCAGTCCACATAGTTGCAGACCCTGGTGTACACACCAGGGTTGTCCTTCAGGGCACAGCCATAACCCCAGGAGACAATGCCCTGGAGCTCTCCATTGCAGACCACAGGGCCACCAGAGTCACCCTGGGATGGAGGAAGACAGTGATTAAGGAAGGGGCATGTATGAGAAGGACCACATTCTTCTGAGCTGAAGATGCCGTGCTAGGCTCCCTGTGTCTCCATTTGTTATCCTATCCTCTATTCTCACTAAAGTGTTGAGACGACACCCGGAACAGACCTTTTCACTTTCCCATGGAACCACTGCAGGAAACATCACGACCCATACACCTGGGCATTCCACTCCCACTCCTGGGGAAACAAGGTATTTATTTGAGAAGGGAGCCAATTATACCTGGCATGAATCTTTGCCTCCCTCAAGGAAGCCAGCACAGACCATGTTATTAGTGATCCTTCCAGGGTAGGAGGTTTCACAGTCAATCTGAGGCAGCAGTGGGGCATCCAGGCACTGGAGTAGGTCTGGGTGGTTCACTATGATGAAAAAAAAAAATGTGATTCTGACCAGGCTATTGATCAACATCCCAGTATTATCCACTAGGTGAGCCTTGGAGCATTCTTTAAGATACTAAGACCCAGTAAGTAACTTTGATTCTAGAATAGTCATTATTGATGTCCTTCCTGGAAGTAATAATAGCACATTCTGTATCTACCCTGTTTACATTCTGGGAACCATATCATTCAGTGAATAAATTTCTCTTCTACTCACCATGGAACCCTGTGTGTACTGGATTGTGGCAATGTACTTGCCGATTATAAGCCAATGTCTTAAGTTTAGAAACTAATTTAGCTCTGGAAAGCTGTAGAGAAAGTAGATGGAGTGTCTTACCGCCAAAGCTCAAGGTATCACCCCAGCCAGAGATGAGGCACTGAGTGCCAGCAGGTGCACAGTAGGTGGGCAGGGCCACAGTGGCCACTCGGGCATTGAGGGTCACAGGGGAAGAGAGCTTGATCAGCATGATGTCATTTTCCAGGGTTTTCACATCAAAGTCGGGGTGCTTGATGATCTTGGAAACAGTGACAAAGTGCTCATTGCCCTCAAGGATGTTGATGTTGTGCTCTCCCAACCTCACTTGGATGCGGCTGTTGGAAAGAGAGGCATGCTAGACACTTCCTCTCCATTACCTCAAATAGTCCAGAGTTATTAAACTCTTTTTGCTGAATAAGTTTGGAATGGGCAGGAGGCCTAGTTAAACATCACAGATGTAGCAGACATGCGGTGTGCAAGTACCACTGGGAGACCCAATTCCTTTCTGCTTCAAAGACAGGTAATATGACTGAGGTGAAGGACTGCAGCTGGAGACTACTCATCAACCTACTGCTCCCCTTTGGGTGCAAGCCAGCTCCTGTATCTTCATTCTTCCTCTGTGCCTTTGCAAAGTATAAACTACACTAAATCTTCTGCCTGGGCTACAGAGAGAGTTCTAGGACAGTCAGGGCTGCACAAAGAAAGCCTATTTCATAGAAAACAAATGAACAAACAAATGAAAATAGCTTTGTCCATTCAGCTGTGTCATCTTAAATCTTGCTGTGAATTTTAGCTTTCTGAATTAGAATCTAGATGATTCAGATGCATATTTAGGTGAGACAACCTCTCGTACAGAAACTGACACTTGGTTTTCTCAATATAGTGTAATGAATTAAAATAGGAAGTTTAAAAAAGCTTACAGATTGTCCACACTCTTGAAAACTTTGTTTATCTCCCTGTTACAGGACTTAGTGTAACTATGTGAAAGTCTTTGTGTGATTCATGTTGGTTCCTTCAACCCTAAAATCAACTTTCCTTGCTTTTGTTATCCATATCCTTGATTTATTTTGGATGTTTCTGCAGTGTGAAGGCCTTCCCATTCTGTATCCTTATTCTCTCCAAACTCAGGAAAGAAGTTGCAGTCAGCAATCTCTTCTCTGACTTTTCCCATTCACCTGAAAACCCCAGCTGATGCCTGATCTAATCCTATCCCCTTGGAAACACCAAAAGTGTGTTCTGAAAAGCCAGCACCCATCACTTACTTCTTATAGCAGTGAGCTGCAGACACCACCCATTGATCATTGGTGAGGGAGCCTCCGCAGAAGTGGTAGCCAGAGTTCAGGGACACCTGGTAGGGGACAGAATCCTTCTGGCAGGTGTATCCTCCAACGATCTTATCGTCAAAAGGGAAAGCAACTTGAGTAGAGAGAAGAAGAGAGAAGACAGTTCATCAGGGTGCTGGAAACTGGAGCCCCCAGTCCTGTGCCAGCCTTAAGCTAATTAGGTATCCTTATCAAGTACAATAATCGAAGACAAAAATGTAACAGTGGGCATAAGATGGGTTGTGGTTTTCCATAATACAGAGCACTGTGGGACAGTAGAAAGATACTCTGCAGGTGACAGTATTCTGATGGGGTACAAGGGACAGGGCAATGGTGCTCTCAGCATACAGGAACAGGGAACAGGGATGGCTGTCTGATCCACTACTTGCTTTGATCTCATGTTTATCATTCATTGACACCCTGTGACTAACAGAGTTTAAGGGGATTAGCATAGTTGGAACTATCTTGGAAAATATCCTAGGTTTGTAGAGCTCAATGTACTCACATGCTTTTACAGCTCAAGTCTGTATATTAAGGTCAAAATAGAGAGCAGTCCTTATGTAGGATACAGGAGGGAATGTTATTGCCCAAGATAATTGATTTTTAACCTTGATTGCATGTTTATGTCATATATATGTATATAGGCATATATTATGTGTGTATATATATATATATATATATATATATATATATATATATATATATCTCAGAAATATCATTTCTAATACAAAGTGACTGTTCCAGACACATAGAGTTAGAATTTTAAGACATTAATTCCCAGTATAATGGAGTTTTGAACATTTCAAATTGGGAGTGTTTGTCTGTAAAAACAGCCATGGCTGAGACAGTTTCAAGCTCTTGGGCTTAAGCCGGAGGCCTTCTGGTTCATTTCATGGAACCTCCACATGCCTTCAATTTCTAGCCTCTTTGATCACATAATAAATGAGAGTAGAAGGGGTAGGAAATGTCAAGCTTACAGAGAAGCCAGAAAGTTTAGAAACAGAGCTCTGTGGGAAAATAGAGTACATAGGAGTGCAGACAGGGTAACGTAGCAGCTTTAGTGGTGGGGTTCATGGCCTCTAGGAGAAGAAGAGCAGGACCTGGGTTGAGGCATGGAACTCAGGAGCAACTCCAACAAGGGCCACAAAAAAGAGTGCACTCATGTAGCCGAAGGTAGTGAGCATTTGGGGAGAGCCTGCATTTATATCCTGCTAGAGGGAGGAGGAGGTATTGAGGGGAGGGCCCCCACTGTCCCTATACAAGCACACCTGTGAGTTCCCCTTCCCAGGTCTTACATTATCTCTGCTCTATTTGTCCACTCTGTGGGTAGGTGAGGAACATGTGATAAGGAAACTTTTCTTCTTAGTGTAGAGAAGGAGAGCAGCTGATTCTTGAAAGGAGGCTGGGTTGTAAAAACAGTAGAAATGTAGACCTTCTCTGCAGCTGGCCCTTCTTAGGATGATATAAAGAGTAGGTGGTAGAGAATGGTCATGGGCCAAGATACATTCCTGACTTCATGGAATCTTTTTTATTTATTTTAAGGAAGCCCTGGTATTGGTAGATAGGTGAATATTGAGGGACCTAGAACCCCATGAGAAGAAAAATATTGTATCTGGATTTAATAACTGTGAGCTGATGATTCTCATTTCTAGAATAATTCATCATATAGAAAGGTCATATCTAAGGGCTTTGGTAATCAGAATTAGAGTATGAAGCAACATGATGAAGGGAGAATTAGACATGCTCTGTACGTTCACTCGACTCTCCTTTCTAACAGGGCTCATACACAGCAAGTGCTTTGAAATGTGAGGGATGGAGTTTGAATAGGAACTTTCTCAGATGTGTTTCAGAGATAGATCAATACTGCATTCTCCTTTCCTCTCTGTCATAAGCCCTGACTCTCATTGTTCATGCTTTTATGGATCCAGTTTCAGCATCTTCATGGGTGTATTAGCAATCTGCATTAAAGATTAATACTTCCCTATCTTTTAGATGCAGGCAGTTTGAGATAGAAGTCCATATTTTACATCAGCTCTGTGGAAGTCCTTGAACAATGGTCAGTCTGATTTCTGTTCAGATAATTGCCTTCAGTAGAGAGATTACTACATTGACTAGGAGTCATGAACAGGAATCAATATTAAAAATATAGGAGGATTCTGATATTCTATACACTTTCTTTCAGTGACAGAATTATAATAGACATAATTCAAAGTAAACATTCCTGTAGAAGTTCCATGAATGAGTTCTAACAAAACCGCTAAGGCCCAGTCTTGAAATTTATTAATACCTAACGTACCCAGAAGAAGTGTACTGAAAAATGATATGTGAGATTATATGTAATTTTAGCATATAACTTGAGGAACTGTGTTATAGGATCTAGTTACTTTCTTATTAGTCTGATGTCAGTGTTGTTGAGGGACAAGAACAAGGAAAGTTCATGAGTGAATTTTCCAAACTGTAGAAAATAAAAGTTCTAGAGTTGCTGAGCAGAGTGGAAAAATCTGAGTTGAGAATCTTGTGATTGGTTTTTTCACGTGAACATGGAAGATGGTGAAGGAAGTGGGTACCAGAATGACCTGGGAAAACCACCATGTGAGACCTGTTAAATAGCTTTTGTGCCCATCCTTGGCATGACTGGCTCAGCTACACAACAGAGTTGGTACTCAGAGCTCTTACCTCTGAATATTATTAAATGGCTCATGGAGTCCTGATTAAGTGGAGTACTATTCTATTTCTAAAATGCCTCACAGTTCTTCAAGACGTTTCACGCAAGAGTCATGCACTACATTTCTTATGCATGGAGCCTCACTTACCTTTTAAAAACTGTTTTATGGTGAAGTATGAAGAAAGGAATTGTCTCTAATTAATAAGGAAGGTACATTGACTCACATGGATTCATGTATTTGCAAGAAACTATCTAAAATTGGCATGAGGTCTCAAGGCTCCAAGAAGATATGCATACTCTTGTGAAGTACCAAATTTGTCACAAGTGGCATGTAGAAGGCTACTGTCAAGCACACTGGAGGTCCCTAGGAGATGAATTAAACATCTGGCTCCTCCTGCCACGTTTACCCTTGGCAGAGTGTGAACACAAAATTTATATTTACATATCACTGTGTCTCAGAGCCTTACTTTACCATAACCCCTCACCCCACCTGTGCCATGTCTAACACAGAGACACATGTACCATAATGCTCAGAGCCATCTGACAGAGTATTATGATATTATGGTTAGCTTGGATAGTAAGAAATTTCTCCGTATTGTAATTAATATGTTGCTGTTGTACTTTCTTGCTTGAAGTATTTATAAGACTAGTGCATTGAAAGAAAAAGTTGGATATTTGTTACAATATTTTCACATTCCAGTATTTACTAGCTAGGTGGCCCATAAGGGGATTATCCCTAATGCATATGGAAAATCATTTTAGCCACAGGGATGTTAACATTGATTGTTTTCACTATAACCCTATCTATAAATATTGAAGAGCATGGCACAGCAGTGTTCTGTAGCTAAAGCTTGAAGTTAACCATTTAATATTTTGCGCTAATATTTATCACCTGAAATCAATTTTCTCCATGCTATCAGGAATCATAGGTTAAGAAGAATACTGTCGATCATGACTATTACCTGACTATTACCTCATACTCTGGACTGAGGTGAGTAGGGTAGATTTGCCAAACCAGCTGTTTATACTCCATTTGAAAGTCTGTGCTATTCCTGATACTATTCATCCTACCATCCAAATTGCTTTGTGTCTTTCTCTAAAACAACCTTCTAGTCCCACAGTGCTCGGCCTGTCAAATGACTGCATTTCAATTTGGAAAATAGTGGTTCATTTCTCTGTTGTGTATTTCACACTCCAGGTTATAGTTTTTATGAACACCTCATATTTATTCTATCATTCTACATTTCTAGATGATCAAGTGGGCTTTACAGAGTGGAAATGAGGTTTTTAAGTTTATGCAACATCTAGTGTAAAATCGAGCACGGTAGTCAGACTCTAGACTGGTACACTCTGACAGGAGCATTCTGGTTGCCTTGCTCTTGAACCATACTTGCGCCCGACTCAGGAAAGAGGCATGTAACAGATTCTATTAGCACATTTTCAGATATGAAGAATCTGCATCTCTGAAGAGAACTGACTTCTTCATAGCTGCTTGGGAAAGAAATGTAGAGATGATACCTGAACCCCTTCCTCTGAAAACTGAGTTTGTATCCCATTAGTTGCTTCAGAACGGAGTGTTTCTGGTTTCCCTGTAGTTGAGTAAACAGATTAAGAATACATTTTCTCCCTATGTCCACAGATAAGTATAGTCTTCAAGAAAAATTCTCTTTGCGACAGATAATGATCACTACAGAAAACCACAAAAATCAATCAACATGCAGAACCGTGAAGCCCAGTCACAGTGGATCCACAAAACAGTGTATCTATAAAACAGTCTCACACCTAAGGCTCGGAGAGCATTGCAGAAGTGAGGAAGGAAAAATCTACAAGTCAGAAGATGAGGGAATTTTGTTGTGTACTTTTTCCCCCCAGTAATGTCAGTAGCTATGCCCATAATGTCTTACCACCATGATTGCCCAAAGGTGAGCTGAACAAGTGCTACACTAGTAGACATGCCATAGTAGATGGGAAAACAAAACAAAACAGTGAGGACTCAAACCTACACCAAGAACTATAAGCACCCGAGGAAAGCTAAAAGTGGAAGAAGTCATCTTCCCTAAGAAAGAGCACACTAATTGGTTGACCAGTGCCAAATGGCAAGCCCTGAAAACATACATACAAGTAAGATTATACAGACTGATCAGAATATACTCAGGAATATACATATGTATGTATATAGCCACATATAACGATGAAAGCAGAGACCATGAATTTTAAGAAGAAAGGGGAAGGAGAAATGTTGTAGTTATATTATAATCTCAAAAATAATTAAAAGCAAATAATCTTTTCCTTATTCTTGAGATTTCATAGATTTATTCAAAAAGAAATATGATCACATTTAACCACATTTCTCCCTTATAACACTTTATTCCCCACAGCCTGTCTCTCCCCCAACTTTATGCTTTTTCTGATAACTCACTAAGTCCAACTAGTGCTGTCCAGGATGCTCAATGGATAGAAACAACAAAGTAAAGAGTAAAATTATTGCTTTTTTGTAGGTGATATGATACAATACCTATTAAACACTGAAAGACCTCGGCAGTAATTTCATGGACATGATAAACAGCACCAAGTATCATGATAAAATCAATACGCAAATATCAGTAGCCTTTTCATAAAGCAATAAACAAACTTGATGAGAAAGAAATCAGGATAAAACACTCATATACAAAAATATCCACAAAAACTAGTGATATCTATTCATGAAGGTAAAAAAAAAATCTATAATAAAAATGATAGAACATTAAAGAAAGTAATCTTAGAAAAATTGTATTACCAAAGTTGATTGGCACAGTCAATTTAATCTCCATCACAATTCTAAGGCTATCCTTCAAAGAACTAGATGAAACAAAACTAAAATACATACCAACCTGAATGGTCAAAGTAATCCTGAGTAGAAAGAAAAAAACAGGTAGCATTACAGTACCCATCCAAGTCGTGATACACAGTCATCGTAACAAAAAACACGCTAGTACCAACAAAACCTAGATATGTAGATAAATTTAATAGACTAGAAGACTTATAAATACACCCACATAGCTACAACTACCTGATCATTACAAAAGTGCCCAAAACACACTCCTTAGAAAAGATAACTTCCTCCAGAAATAGTGCTGGGAAAAGTATACCTAAAAGGAACAGAAAAATCAGAAAATCCCAAAGCTCAGACATCTGCTGCTAGATAATGTCCTCTAGGCATGACATGGAAAATGCACCCATGTAATGTCAACCACATTGTTGCCTGAGAAAAATCAGCATTATGACAACATCAGTTGACATGCCAACATAGATTGGTGAAATTCCATGTGGTTCAATATCTGGATAAAGAACTATAAGTAGTCAAAGGCTATGGAGAGACAAATAAGCAGCTTCCTACATGGACAAGGTTCTCCCTGATTTTTCTAGTTCCAAATGGTCAACCAAGGACACATGTACATATGAATAATGCTAAATTGACTTGATAGGTTGCTTGTACATGTTTTCATATATACCAGCAAA